CTCTGACTTGGCTTCTTTCATTTAACGTTACACTTCTGAGATGCGTCCACATGAGTGCATGGGCCTGTAGTTGATTTATTTCCTCAACTTTGCTCTATCCTGTTGTATTCATCTCCACTTATTTATGGGCTCTTTCACATTTTGCAGATTTGCTTATGTGCAGGTTTGGTGCATGTGTGTAAGAGTTTCTTTAAGCATGTGCATGGGGTGGAATTGTTAGGGCGCAGGATGTGCCATACATCTTCAACTCACTTTTCTGAAACAATTCCACCAATTGATCTACCAACCGTAGCTGAGAGATCCCATTGACCCACATTCTTGCTTAGTATTGACTGATTTTTAAATTTCTGCCAATTTGGTCATGTGATTTGTTCATTGCCTTGTGATTCATGTGATTTGTTCATTTCATTGTGGTTTTAATTTGGTGATGTGATTTGTTCATTTCATTGTGGTTTTAATTTGCTTTTCCCAGATTATGAATTTTGGTACATGATTGATCATTTGTGAGGCCTCTTCTTTGAAATAGATTTTCAATTTTTTTGTGCATTTAAAAAATTGATTTACAGATGTTCTTTATATATCTTGGATGTTAATTCTTTACAGTTTTATATGTTGCAAATATATTCCAGGTAAATGGAATATGAAAACTCTCATAATAAGACCTCTCAATTTGAGGTCTGCTTTCTACTCCCAATTAGGGAATTCCTCATTAAATTTAATTAATTATTATTATTTTTTCAACAAACAGGGTCTCACTAGCCTGACCTCAAATTCCTAGGCTCGATTTCTTTCCTGAAATCCCAAGTACTAGGATTACAGACATAGCCAGATAAAAATTCTTAATTTTAATAGACTTGATTTTTATCCATCTTTTTCTTTGTGGGAATTTTTATCATTTTAATTTTTTGTTTATTTTTTTCCTTTTGAGTCTTGTTTATAAAACTATTCTCACAATGTCATAAAACATCCTCTAGGTTGTCTTCTTTGTCTTTTACATTTAAGAATTTTGCTGGGTGCGGTGGTGCATACCTGCAATCCCAGTGGCTCAGAAGGCTGAGGCAGGAGGATTGCTAGTTCAAAGCCAGCCTCAGCAACTTAGCGAGGCCCTAAATAACTCAGCAAGATCCTGTCTCTAAATAAAATATAAAAAAGAGTTGGGGACTTGGCGTCCCTGAGTTCAATCCCTGCTGCCAAATTAAAAAAAAAAAAAAAAGAATTTTAATTTACTTGTAATGAACTTTTTTGTGGTGTGAAAATAATTTAATTTTCCTATTCAGATCTATACTTGTCACAGCAACATGCATTATATAGCCTAACCCTATTGGTTCCATTGATTTGCTGGGCCAAGTCTGAAAAGATGAAATTTCCAAATATGCTTGGGATTGTTTCTGTGCTGTGATCTACTTGTCTCTCTATACTACTACATAATTTTAGCTTTATAATACCTTTTAATGTTTGTATAGAAAGTTCTCTCACCTTCTTTTCAGAATTGACTTGACTCTTGTGAAGTTTTGTGGAACTGTTAGGTTTTTGGTTGGAATTCTTTACTTGAGGAAATAAATAATTTTATGACATTGGCTTTTCTTTTGTACAATTGCAGAACATCTTTAGATTTGTTTAGAACTTTAGTTTCTCAATAACATTTTATAATTGTCTTCAGGAAGGATTGCACATTATTTGTTAGGATTATTCCTGGGTATTTTTATATGTTAAATATTCTTAGGAAATTGATTCTCTTGTTTCCAATAATGCCTTAAAGTTTATCTATACTAATAACATTACATGTGTTTTCTTTTATTAGCATTTACCTGGAACATATTTTTCCTATCTTTTCAGTTTCTCTTTGTCTTTCTGTTTCAAGAGTGTGTCTTGTGAATACACTTAATTAGATTTAACATAAAAAAAAATTCTGATTATTTTTATCTTTTCCTAGAGAGTTAGAGTCACTCAAATTGAGTACTATTACAAATATGTATCTACATAACTTTCTTCTTTTTATGTCCTTTCAATTTGTTCCACTTTTTGAAATTCCTTTTTTTTTTTGCTGGGAGGGAGTGTGGTAGAGTGTGTGCTTAGTATGAACCATGTCGTGGGATTAATCTTTAGCACCAAAAAGAAAAAAAAAGAACGTTTTTAAGTTTTTCAAAAACTCTGTGATTTAAGCATGCTAACTTATTTTGTAAACCTCTGTGTTTCCATGCAAAATGGAATGTCTAAGCCATACTGTGGTAGGAGGTTGCTGTTACATTAAAGTAATTTTATACTTGATGTAATTTCTACTTCTGCACCAGCATCATATCATTTTAATCAGAACAACTTTATAATGATTATAGCTTAATAATTAATAGACCAGACCCAATCCAGGTTCTTCTTCAGATATTCATGGTGTTTTAGCCTCCAAAATACTTTAAAAAATAACCTACACTAAACCTTATATTGATAAATGTAGTATACATATATGACTTTGAGTATTTATGTTTTTTGAACATTAATTTTATTAACATAAAATTAATAAAATTTGATAATTTTTCCAAAAAATTATTTTTGTTACTCTATGTATGCTTACCAAAGTCTAAAAAAATTACCAATACCTATTCTTTCTCCCAGTGTCTCCAGGATCTTAAAATACTTTAACTCTTATTACCTACTTGCAAATGATATGCTATTGTTGTCCAGGACTTAAAATATTGTTGTTACATAATTCTGGGGATAATATTCCCTGAGAATTCATAATCACAAGTAAGATCCACATGAGTTTAAGAGCTAAATTTATGTTAACTATGCATTCCAAGAAAATTAAACAAATAATTTAATTTGGAGTGGTCCCAGGTTGGCAGTGACCCTTAGGCAACTCAGAGAAATAAATACAAGTCATCTCTGGAGGAACTCAGCTCAACCCAGGTCTCAAAGGATTTCCGCACATAAATATTCAAAGGAAATGACATGCTCACAGATAAATAGCACGAAGAAGGAAAAATGTACCACAAGAGAGAACAAGCAGAAACAATACACAGAAAAAAAAAAAAAGACTCACAAAGTCTTCAGGTATTGAAATTACTTGACATGGAATATAGAATCACTGTTTTATAAATTGAAAGAAACAAAAAATAATTCTAAAATAGAAAAGAGATTTGGGTGTTTTGGACTTGAACAAGAATCAAAGAGAACTTCTAAAAATGAAAAATAAATATCATGTTGTATTGAGTACAAAACAGAATCGATTATAAAAAGGACCATCATTTTATATGTCATCAAAAATACTGCCACTTATCATTAGCACTTATCACTGCTTGTATGATACATCCTGATTTCAGAGATGTTAAAGTGAAAAAAAAAAGTTTCAGGATCAATGAACTGTAGCCATTGAAATTTAAAAATTAGCAGATCGATTAAATTGCAGAGTAAATCCAGCCGATGAGCAGAGTAAAGAAACAAATATTTGATACAAATAAATTTTCCAGAATGCAGCCCAGAGAGACAGTGAAATAGAAATACAACTGGATGGTTCAAAGTCATGGAGGACAACATGAGAAGGCCAGATATCTATCTAATCAAAAGTTTCAGAGGAAGGTAATGGAGAGAGACAAGGGAGGCAATGTTTTAAAATATAATGGTTGAGAAATTTTGGAAACAGGGGAAAGAGAGCAATACCCAAATGAAACTAAATGATGCTGAAGCTGGAGAGAACAAAAGAAATCTGTACCTAGACATATTATGTATCTGAAGAATACACGATAATAAAACTTTAGAACATCAAAGGCAAAGAGATCTTCAAAGCAACTGGAAATGGAAAAAGATCTCCTAAAAAACCCTAAGTGGACTAACTGATTAAATAGCAAAAATGGAAGCCAGAAGACTGTGGAATAATATCTTCAACGTGTTTTGAGAAAAACAATAATCAACCAAGAAATTATACCCACTGAAACTCTTCCAAGAATGAGAGCAAAATAAAGAATTTCCAAATAAATAAAAACAGAGACTTTTGCTCAAGGAAAGTTTTATAAAAGAGACTTGAAGCAGATGGGAGCACAGTCCTAGATGTGGTACACCTCATAGGGGGAGATGGAGAATGCCAGGGTTCTGAGGAACCTCAGGAGAAGGTTTGCTTACCTCTCAGGTGTCTGCCTGGCTTTGACCACTTTCTGGGATCTTTAAATACTTAATTTTGCGCCAAAGCAGTGATGAACTTAATACGTTGTTATTTTATATTTCATCCTGCATTTGAGTTGTTTCATTGGGACAGGATTGTTTAGGTATTTCATCTGCCCACCTGCAGGAAATACAAGTAAGTCTTTTGACAAAATTTTTTTTAGAGTAGCAGGGCAACTTAGTGAGACCCTGTTTGAAAATAAAAAATAAAAAAGGCTGGGGATGTAGCTCAGTGGTTATGTGCCCCTAGGTCCAATCCCCAGTGCCGAAAGAAAAAAAAAAAGTTCCTTTCGAATAAACCAGTTGACCTGGTGTCCATCTTTCCCATCCTCAGAGTATAACATGCCTTCCTCTCACAAGCACATATACCAGCTCTATGTTTACCTTTGCCTGTAAGCTGTTTAAATTAATTGTCTACTTACCCCATTAGAAATATAAGGGCCAGAGCTGTGTTACTCTCTGTTTTACTCCTAGACCTCAGCAACTGTCTGGCACATAGTAGGTGTTCAGTAGACATTTATTGTATAAATGATTAGTGAGTAATTATGAGCTAGAAGCCAATATAAGGTACTAGGTCAAGCACAGCAGTGGGTCTCTGCTTCAAATTTAGCCATTGAACGTGGGGCTTTTAAGGTTGGTGAATTTCCATTGAACTCTGTTGTCCAATATGGTAGCCATTCACCAACTGTGGCTATTTAAAATTTACCAGAATTAATTAAAAGTAAAGATTCATTTCCTCAGTCACACTAGCCACGCGTCAAGTGGCTAGTGGCTATGCTCTTAGATACTGTTGGTGTAGAATATTTCCATTGTCATAGAAAGTTCCATTACATGCGCCATAGAATTCTCAAGAATTCTTAACTGCTTCTCTCTCTTTCTCTCTCTCTCTTGCTCTCCCTCTCACTCTCATTCTTTCTCTCTCTCTTCCCCATCCCTAAACCAAGTACAGGGATAGTTGTTTCATTGTTAGTGACTTAAAATGATGCTTTTGAACAAGAAGATGCTGGGTGCTTTCGGTGACTAGTACCATACCCACTCTTCTTTTAAATCCCTGAGCTATTCTTTACCAGTACATTCTTTTATTCCCATTGGCACTAAAGCTGCATGTTACTTGGGTGGGAAGAATAATTGCTTTCTTTTCTAGGTCCTTAAACCCTTTGCTAATGTTACTGTCTGGAGAGTTCCCAAAGCCAGGGTTCTAGGAGAGTTTGGCCCGTCTGAAGAGCTGACCCATGAAATAATGGAGTAGCGCAAGAGGGGTGGGGAGCAGGGCCTTCTATCAATAGAAAACCTCCCCTCTCTGCACACATGGCCAGTTAATTGGCCATTCTGGGAAAGTATGGATGGGGAGGGGGGTGCTTCTGAGAATCTCCGGTGACAGTTAAGTGGCCTTTTGTCTGCCCTCTGTGGAACAACTCTCTGTCTCTGTCTTTCCTGCGGATTTTCTGTTCGATTCATCATTTGCCATTCAGGCAGAACCTTTGCTTTGTCCTTCCAATATGATTGCCTTGTGTGCCGGCCTCTGCTTTATTCCTTCGACTCCCAGACCATAAAGGGGATCGTGTGGAGCTTCGGCAGGACTGAGAAACAGACTCTACCATATGTGGAGAACTGTAATAATGACTGCAGTGGATCTCACGTTCAGCACAAAAAGCTCTACTTGTCCTAGCAGAATGGTGACTACCTGAAGATAGAGACGAGGGACCTTGACTGAATTTCTTCTCACGCAGTGTATATAGTTCCTTTGCTCCCCTCTCCATTCTCTTCTCTTTCCCTCTCCCCGTTGCAACCAGAGTCCGGATCCAAAACACGGCTGCGACTAAGAGTTAATGCCCTCGAAATAATTCATCACCTTGCGCAGGCTTCGCCAGGCCACTTCACAGGGGCTGTCTCATCTAATATTCCCCAAAGCCCCGTGAGGAGGTAGGGGACCTATTATTAACCCCATCTGACTGAGGAGGTAGTTCACTGAGATTGGAGAGACTGGCTTAGTAGCCCTATATCTTTTCGAAGGGACCTGAGCACCGGGTTCTCTGTCCTCTTTCCCTGGACATGATGGATTCGATGGTCACTAAGAGGCTGGCCCCAAACTCCCTTCTCTCTGAGAGGAAGGAAAAGCTGAGGGCCTTGTCTTCTTCCTTCTCTCTCTACCCTTCCTAGGAGATGATTGGCCTAGGGAGAGGAGGCTGGGGAATTGGCCTGGCTCTCCCCATGTGGGAGCCACATGCTGGGTTCCCCAGAGTCTAATGCTCATTCTGGCATTAGGTGCTGTGCTCTTCTGAGGCCTGGGATTAGGTGCTGGCATTAGGTGCTGTGGCATTAGGTGCTGTGCTCTTCTGAGGCCTGGGCCATGCCTGGGTGTGAAGAAAGTCCCTGAAGCTTCCTGGAGGAAGAAGCATGCTGGGTGTCCCCAGAGGAGGGACTGGCAGGCAGATACTCCTGGTCTTCAGCATTATGCTGGCAGCAGCTTGGGGCCAAATGAATTTCACAGGGTAAGTGGCTACTCCTTGGCAGGAGGAAGGGCTGACTGTGAGCCAGGGCATCCAGGTGTCAGTCCCCATGTGTGTTTGTGGGTTTGTGTGCTGGTGGAGGGGCTGTCCTGTTGGGATGGGATCAAGGCAGAAACATCAGGACTTTGGTTTCCATCCAGAACCTATATGGGGCTTCCACCTCCCACTCTCCTGTTCCAGGGGGGCAGGCCACTCTGTAGCCTTCTCTACCCCTCTGTGTTTTCCAGAGACCAGGTTCTTCGAGTTCTGGCCAAAGATGAGGAGCAGCTCTCACTCCTCAGGGATCTGGAGGGCCTGAAGCCCCAGAAGGTGAGGACTGCCCTGGACTCAGGAACACCCCCTCCTGAGCAGCTTGCAGCTAGGCTACCTGTCCTCCTCCCCCATCCGCACCTGCCCTCCCGAGGTCTCCACCAGTGATCACTGGAAAAATCAAATGTGGCTCCTCTTCAGGAAAGGTTGGGGACACGAGGTTGGGTGGCCTAAAGACTGTAGCTTTCTTTTCCTCTCTGTCCTGGATGGCGGGGGGGTGGGGACACGACTGTTGAGCACATTCCCAAAGACAGCCGCAATGTCCTAAAGGCACTTGGGAGGCACAGATGTCCCTGGTGGGATGCCATGCAGCATCAAGTGTGGACACATCTGCTTCTCGACTGAAACGGCTTAGCTTAACAAACCTGATTTTATTTGGGTTCATCCTCGTCAGGCCGAGCATTTGTTTCTGAGAACATTTGCCCTCTACAAGTTTTCAAGATGGGAAACATTTTCTTTGTCAATTATAATAGAAAGGTTTTTGTTGAGGGCTGTTGAAGCAATCATAGTTCTGGAAGTTGCCCAAAGCCCTTGCTCTTATATTTGTATGAGTGTCCCCATCAATGAGGACTTATAACACTTTATAAGTCCCTACATTTTACAAATTGAAAACCAGATGTAGGACATGGGGCTCCAGATTAAACCTCTCCTGCTTCTCCAGGGATCAAGAGCAGGGAGCAACGAGGCCTCCCTCTTCTGACCTGGGTTCTTGTCCGTGTTAATGTCTCATGCTTAGGAACTCGGGGGCTCTGTGAATCCAAGCAAAGTTGCAATGGGTGAGAGAGGCTGGGAAACAGAGGTGCTTGGAGGTAGGCAAAGAAGCATAGCAATGTGGGGATTTTGTTTATTGGTTCTGGTCTTTCTGGTCACCTTATGGAACTGGAGTCCTTTGAAATATTAGAGAAAACCATTTGGCTTTCAGGGCACCTACAGGATTGTGTAAAGACAGGCAACAAACACACCTGTTTTCATTTCCATTGTGAACAAGGTGGACTTCTGGCGTGGCCCAGCCAGACCTAGCCTCCCCGTGGATATGAGAATTCCTTTCTCTGAACTGAACGACATCAAAGCTTATCTGGAGTCTCATGGCCTTGCTTACAGCGTCATGATAAAGGACATCCAGGTGAGGTCCCACCCTGGCACTGTGGCAAAGGTCTTACCTTCCCCGTGGGTTTCTGGTTGGGGCCCATCACAGAGGAAAAACGTTCAAGCTGAAAGTTGACATTTTGCTTCCGGATCTCCATCTGCGTGTTTGTGAACATGCCATGGAAGGAATTAAATTGCACATTTCTCAGGGAAAATGTAAACCTCGGACAGAGTTCCCTGGGCGGGGAGTTCCCATAGTGGGTAAGGATGCTGTGGATGGGTCCTCTTAGGGAAGAATTGGCAGCTAACAGCAAAGAATGGAGACCACAGGAAACAGCTTAGGTCTTTTCCTAAGCGCCTCCGATGGCTTCCTTTGTTTTTCTGACTGTCCCCCACTGCCCTCATTGTGTCTTAGCCATGCAATACCAGGGGGGATTCCTTTACTCCAGAGGAGTGCTGTGAGCCCTGCCATTCATCCCCGCTGGCTGCATCTCTGTGCAGGGCTGTCTGTGCGGGCTTCTCTCCCAGGCAGGATTCTCCCAAAGGAACAGCTCTGGGTGAATGGATGCAGGCCAGACCTAGGATAGGGCAAAAGGAGCCCTCATCCGGGGCAGCCCTCAAACTCCCTGACCCCACTTGGTGCCGAACCTTTTAGCCACTCTTCTGAACTTGCAGGAAATTCTATTTCAGCTGTTCTGTCTTCAAGGATTTCGCTAAGCCTCTGAGCTGTACCCTTCTGCCCGTGCTTTACTGACTGCGTACCTGTGGAATTGTATCCACAGATTCATTCCCAGCCATGTTGTTCTGCACGGATCTTCTTGAGGACCCTGAGTGTGGGAACACGGAGCCTCCCAGAGCGCACACACTTGACACCGCATGCCAAGGGATAAACGCATTAAGCGGCATTCCTTTCCCATGCGAGCACAGGGCTGGGGCACTTGGGTCCATTCAAAGTCCTTTATCCCTCCTCAGGCACATCTGTTTCCCGCTCAACATGTGGGGGTGGGATGTTTCTCTAATTAAATCCCCCACAAACAAAATAGGGGAAACTTGCACAGACAAAAGAGGCTACCACATCAAAAGAAACAGAACTTAATTCCCATTTTTAGCTCATGCCTCTATTTTGAAGTTCGTGTTTCCCTGCTTCTGCTTCGCCCACGGCATTTGGCAAACAGATACGCAGAGGCTTCAAAATTTTTCTGTTGATTTCTGCACATCGGGGACAGTCCCAGAGTCACCTCCGAGTCTCCCCATTGCCCCCCCTCTGGAGCTGGTCCTCTGCATTCTTCTCTGCCCCAGGCCCTATCCCCCTGGGGCTTTACAGTCCCAGGAAAATTGTCCCCTCACCCCATCTCTCTCCACCCTACCCAGCCTGGCAGGATTCTCATTCACCAACTCACTCTCTGCAAAGCATCACTCTCCCAATGCCATCCTTGAGGTCACTCTGTGGCTTAGAGGGTGCTGGGGGTGGGGAGAGGCTGGTTGATTTGTGGTGATGATGGTGATTTGTGGGGAGGGATCCAGGAGAGGATGGCTCAGAGGTGCTGACAGGACTGCAAGGGCTTTGCACCATTCAGGTTGTTGGCCACCAGATTTATTTCAGATAATGACACAAAGGCCTGATTTTTCTGTCTGTTCTGTGGATCATCTCAGCCCCAGCACTTGGCATAGGGTCCCCTACATAGTGAGCCCTCGGTAATTGTCTGCAGAATGAATTACTCTGTTGGCAGGTTCAGGACCGGCTTGGGCAGAGGGTCTTTATTGACACATTGTCTTTTGTCTCCCTGGCCCCCTCCCTTCGTGCTCCTCTGGGTCCAGTGGCATGCATCTTTACCCCCTCCCCCCCACCACCACTTAGTTGGGGCTTCAATCAATGTTCATTGAATTAATGGATGTGAGGAGGAAAGGAAAAAGGAGAAGGTGTGTTGGGTGGCCAGGGCCAGGCTGAGAGGGAGCATCAAAGTCCTTGCTGCAGGCTTAGGCTAGAGGCTCAGGAGATTTTTGAGGAAGGGAAATTCTCCCCTTCCCCTGGCTCTGCTTGGGAAGGATGAGGTGGGCCTGTTCACTCCACCCAGAGACACAGAGATGCCTACTGTGTGCTGAGTATTGGGCAAGGTGCTGAAAATACGGAGATTTAAAAATCCAGCACTGTTTCCAGGGGAGCTGGAGAGCGTGGGGGATGGGAGGGAGGGAGTTAGCGGTGATTACAATGGAGTGGTTGGGAGCGCTGGAGTGAGAGCAGGTTGCCATGGGAGCAAATACAAGAGGCACTGCACGTCGCGGTGCTGAGAAGGCGGTAATTACTGTGTGGCTGAAGAGAAGGGAAGGGGGGCTGGGGAGAAGGGAGCCCCCACCCTGATTGCGGCTGAGGCCGGACCCCATCCTCCGCCCTGTGCATAGGTCAGGATTTTTTTTTCCCCCGGAAAAATGGTGGGGGAGACTTCGGAGGGGCTTTGACACCATCAGATTTGCATTTCAGAAAAACCACTCTGACAGTGACAGTGTTGAGTCGGGGACAGGGCCAGGGAGAGACTGACAGGCAGGAGGGTGGTGAGGAAATTGCAGTGGGCCAGGCAAGAAATTATCTGATTCCGAGTGAGCTCTATTTGCATTTAATTTTTCTTCACCTCCTCGTTCCTTTCAGCCCTTGGTGTTTTTTTTTTTTTTCCTTAGGATGAGTCACCATGGAAAAGCTTCACTTGAGCAATCAGCTCTGTGGATTTTAATGGCTTTTTTCTGATTACAAAATTAATAAATATTCATGTTAGATAATTTGAAAAATAGGGGAAAAGCATAAGAAGAAAACAAAAATCACCCATGCTCTGACCATCTAGATGGGAATACAATTTAGTGTAAATATTGCCTCACCAATTTCCTCCTCTTTCCTGGATCATTTCCATTAGCATACAAATGGAGAGTTATTTATCCCATCTTTAAAAATCCTCCCTTGATCCCATCCCTTGCCCCTCCAGCCATCACCCCAATTCTCTGCTTCTCCATAGGGTAAAACTTCCAGAAATGTTGACTTTTTATACTTGTCCGGCCTCCTCATCCCCACCCGGATTGTTCCCCCTTATACACCAAAGCTGCCTCCCATAATGGCGCCCAGAACACTAGGTTCAGCTCAGTTGTCAGCTCTCAGGATTCATCACGACAGGCACATCTGGTCCAGCTGTTCCCTGCATCAGGCCTCTTCTCTGGGCTTCCAGAACACGGCTCTGTCCTGGCTCCCTGGTTGTTCCTTTGTCCATAGCTGTCCTGTTTCCAGCTCTGTCCTTGGACTTCCCCTGCATTCCCTCATCCAGGATCATGGCATCACATCCCTTCAACCTCCTCCCTTATTACGTTTCAGCCAGTGCCTCTTCCTGAACTCCCCTGCTCACCATGTCCATTTGGTGCCCCATGAGCATCTCAGGTCCAAACCAAGCAACCCCAGCCCCACCTGCTCCTCCACAGCTGTCCTCAGCTCAGGAAACAATGTTATCATTCTTCCAGTCACTCAGGCAAGAAACTTAGTCACTGTTAATTGTGTTGGATTGGATGTGGGGTGTGAGAAAAGAACGAAGTCTTATTTCAAAAGTTCCCCTTCTTCTCACCCCCTTTCCCAACTCCCTATCTCCTCCCCCTGCTCCACTCTTTTCCTTGGCATTGAACACTTCATCACGTTGTCTGTAATCGACTTCTTTATCTCGTTGGTGTTCTGCATTCCTTGCTAGACTGGAAGCTTTATGAGGCAGATGGTTTTCTTTGTTGGCTGCCATGTCTTTAGTGCCTAGCACATAGGATATGATCAACAAAAACATGTTCGCTGGAAGGAAGGGTTTCAAATGGGAAGATGCTGTTGGTTGGTGTGGGGGTGGGTGGCACTCTAAAAGAGGAGAGGATGACAGTAGGGAGGATTACAGAAAGCAGGGAAGAAGGGACAATCATGGGCAAGACTCAGAGGGAGAATCAGAGTCTGACTATGTCAAGGGGGCAGGGACACAAGAGGACCCAGGCTGTGCTGTTGGTGCTACTCATCCAAGTGACCAATAGTGGGACTATGTGCCATCCAAACCTGACAGATGCCATATTTCCTCTGGAATCCAGATTTTCTAAGTCTTTTTTTTTTTGGCACTAAAGATTAATGTTGGGGTGCTATACCACTGAGCTATACCCCAGCATTTTTATTTTTATTTTGAGACAGGGTCTTGCTAAGTTTTTGAGGCTAGCCTCAAATTTGTGATCCTCCTGCTTCATTCTTCTGAGTAGCTGGGATTACAGGCATGCACCCGCTTAGCCATGCCTTATAACGATCCATGACCCCAGGCATAATTATTGTCTTTGTTATCATCCTCGGCATCTTCATCACAGACAGCATTTGTTGGCATTGGCTACATGCCTAGCAACATATAGTAATCCTTCTAATCCTCACGAGAACAACTTTAAAGCACGTGCGAACATATGCAATAACATGATTCTTGTTTCATGAGGGGAAACTGAGGCACAAAAGTTAATAATTTGCCAAAGTTAGCAATAGAGTCAGGGTCTAATCTGAGGCAGCCTGGTTCTGGGACCTGTACTCTGCCCCTGCAGATGGCTTCCTCGGCAGTAATGAGGTGTTGAAACTTTGCTATTAATGAAGTTGTGGGGTCCCTTTTAAAACATCAGATCAGGAGCCCCTTCCCATGTATGTTGCCTGTGGACTGTTCAGGATGTTGGCCATGTAACAGATACAGGCCTAATTGAGAAAGTCAGGAACAGTCAATGTGGAGCTACCCACCAGTTCCCATGAGCTGCGGCCATTTATGTCTGGGGTCGGAGCTCTGTGACAGCCGTCTGCCTCAGTCTCTTCCTCTCCCCCACCCTGGGGGTGCTGTTCTTTGCCTAGTGCCCCCATCCCCCCTTCCCTTGTCATAAGTTAGTAACACCAAGGTATTGCTGCCCCTGTCTGGTTATGGCTTCCAGGGAGGCAAATGGCTAATCTGAGTTTCTTCTTTTTTTTTTTTTTTCCTGAGGAGTCTGACAGGGTTTTAACAGGCATCCTGAGCCTGTGGTAAGGCCACATTCTTAGCTCTCCTCTGTCTCATCCCCTTCCCTGGGCCCTAGGAAGGGAGCAAACATCTGTGCAGTTTTCAGGCCAGGGTAGATTAATGTTCCTGGAATTGGGGCCCAGCTGCGAGGGCCTGAACATTCCCAACTCCTAAGAGGGTGTCACATCCATTCGCAAGCCTGGGAGGGTGTTTGGAAAGCTATTTGCAGTTTGGTGCCGATTTCCATTTGCCTCCAAGCTGTTTTATGGAACAAGGGATGACCTCCTGGGAGCTGTGTATGTTCCTGGCTGCAAACTGCGCCCTCTGGTCCTTTCCTCCCAGTTTCTTCTCTTGCCTTCCATACCCCGCACCCACCCCTTCATGCACTCCACCAGGCCCTTGGAGATTAGACCTCCAGGCCCCACAACTTCATTCCCATGAGGCCAGAGTGGGGACCAGGCTGCCCTGGCCCAGCTGCTGTCCCCCTTGCAGCTGCTCACCCAGCTGGTAGCACCAGTCCATAATGGTGGGCACACATCACGGTCACGGTGGGCCTGCCCAGAGATGGGTGGATTTTCTGGGAAGAAGACACAGTCTCTTTGTTAGAGCTTCTCAGGGTGGTGCTCCTGAGTAGCCATTGAGAGCTCCTCCAGCCCATGTCTAATTTAACCAGTAATCCCAGTTTTGCCCAACTGGGAACCAAAGACAAGCCAGCTCAGCCATAGAAAACAGCAATTACGTTGCCTAGCATGTGGTCAGTGCTCAAACATAAAGTAAAATGATCTCCATGCACCAATTCCCAGGTCCTTTTGAAATCTCTGAACTTGAGAGAGCCATGAGCAAGTGGACAGGACCCTCAGAGCTGAGTGCGTCACTGGATAGCAGCTCATCTGTCACAGGTCTCTCAGCCCAGTGAAGACTTTGCTGCTGTTACCTCATATTAACCATTAGAGCTTTGGATTTTGATATTATTTATTCATTTAATAATTCTTACTTATTAATCTAATATAAGCCAAAATGTAAAAAATAGAGAAGAGAAAACAAATGGCTTGAAATCCTAATTTCTCCTTCTAACAGGCATTGTTAATATTCTGGTGGGTTTTTTTTAAGTGTCTTATTTTCCTGTACTTGGGGTTACTTCATTTTTCATCATTAAAACAAAACAAAACACTTTTTAATTGTAAGAATAGTGTGATGCAATTTTCAGCTGTTATTAACATTTTGCCTGTTTGTGTTCTCTCTCCTCTCTTTCTGTATTCATACACACACACACACACACACACATACACAGGTGCACACAGAGATACACACATCTATGTATATAAGTTATTGTTGCCCTTTAGTTTGGCTAGCTAGCCTAAGGAACTTGAGGCTAGGAAATAGAATAGCTCATTCTTTACTTACCTCTGCCACTTGTTAGTTTTGCCATTAAGTCTTGTCATCTCTTCAATCTGCTTTATCTCTGAAACATGCAGAGTTAATACCTGCCCTGGCATCTGGTCAAGTGAGATCATGGGAATAAAGATGCTTGGTAAACCAAAAGGCTCTGGTCCAAATCTAGGCATTGTCAAGACTCATTTGTGATCCAGAGCTGCAAACCAGGGGCACCTTTGGGTTGATGAGGATGTGATCAACACCCTCTGTGGCAGGCAATTCCCATAGGCACGTCAGTCAGTTCTGAATCCTGGGGTGACTTAGTCCCTGGGTACCAAGATAAGGGTATGAGTTTGGATGAAGGGCACCTGTCCATCTCACTGTGACCCAAGGTGGAAAAGTGTCCCGGGATGATATAGGTGGTCTGAGCAGTGAATAGTCAACTCACCTGAATGTCCTCCCTGTGGTCAGTGGGAAGTGCCACATCAAGGTTGAGTGCCACCTGTAAAGTAGTATGCAGGATGTTGTTTTTTTCTCACCGATGCTTGTGTTTATTTAAGAGGCGGTCAACATGGTGAATGAAAGACCGTTGACACTTCAGTGGTGATTTGGACTGGCCTTGTCATACCCGACTTTCCAAATGATTTGGATACCAGTCATCCACGCTACTTCCTGGGGGTAGAGTCAATGTTGGGGGTCTGCTCTCCCTAGGGTTCCCCAGGGTTCAGCTTGGGTTCTGATTCAACAGAATGTTTATAAAGGGAAAGAGTAGATGATGAGCATCTTTTCTAAAACTCCTTCCTATCCATTATTACATTTTATTCTGCGAGGTAGCAAGGCAGACATTGCTGTCCTAATTTTCAAGGTTAGAAAAACTAAAGCCAGCAAGTTCCACAGTGAGCTGGTGGCAGAGGCAGGCTTAAAACCCAGCTCCCCAGACACCTTGCCCGTGCTCATTGGGAAGTAGCAGGGTGGATGGCGGTACCTGAGTCCCCAGCCCCCTCCTCACCTCCTGCTGCAGGTGCTCGCTCACAGTGGCTCATTTCCCTGTGTCGATGCTGTCTTTCTGTGTGGCCGGTGCAGGCTGGGCTCAGGAGAGGGACAAGGACCTTCTCTGCCCTCCAGTGTGTGCTCTCATCTCCTAGGTGCTGCTGAACGAGGAGAGAGAAGCCATGGCGAGATCGCGCCGGCTGGAGCGCAGCACCAGTAGCTTCAGCTACTCCTCTTATCACACGCTGGAGGAGGTAGGTCTGTCTGGTCCAGCTCTGGACTCTCTCTTGCCTCTGGGCTCCTTGGATTCTCCAGACTCAGGCAGAGACCAATGAAAGTGCTGGAGTCTATGAAAAACTGTGAACTTGGGGACTGAAGAGTAGATATTAGGTGAACATCTGTTGGGCAGTCAGCTTAAATGGGATCCAGAAGCCAGTTAGAGGGGACTACAGTTCAATAGGATGATCCTAAGCAGGCACAGAGCAGAGTAAAGGGTCTATACTGCGCAGAACACTAAGATTGATGGAGGCTGTCTCCAGACTCTTTTCTCTGGCTAGGGATCAGGGATCTCTACCTTTCCATGACCAGTCCTGGTGTTCAGGGGCACTGTGGGTATGGGTAATTGAGGGTATAAGGAGCAAAAAGCCAGTCATACTTGTAGAATCAAACAGAGTCGCCTTGGAGAAAATTCATGATCACAGTGACAGCCAGCTAGAGCCAAGTGTGACTGGTGGTGACTTGTTTGTAAAGGAGAATCTGCAAGGAAAGCACAGAAATTCCCACTCCAGAAAGAAATGCAAGGTCCACTTATTATTTTGCATGTAAAAGACATGGCCTTATTGATAGCATCCACTCTGTCACTGTTATCACTTTTCCCACCTCACAAGCTCTTTAATAGAGGAGACATTTTATTTTCTTATATTTCTTAATCATATTTACTGAAAGGATAAGAGAATGGATTAATATATCCTACAACTATTTATTGATGCTAAAGATAAATATAAACAGGAACTCTGCCTTCAAAGAACTTAGAATGTAAAAAGAATAATAAGTTTTAAAAAAAAAAGATACTACAAGGTCTGTGGATCCCTCAATTGGAGAATGGACCAAAGGATGAAGGCATGAGAGAACTTTCAACAGAGAGAACCATGTGGGCATTTGAGTAGGCTCAGCACATGCTATCCTCCCAGGCAAAGGCATAGCTCTGCACAGGGATGAGGAGCCCGCCAATCCAGCTAGACTACGACTCACTGTCCTTAATTCTTAAAGCATCTTCAATTCCAGTTTTTAATCTGGATCCTTTTAGACTCTCAAAAGAGGTGGACAATGGAAAAGGGTGGGATGGGGGGAGGAGACTATTCAGAGACATCTTGGGGTTCACCCTTCTCTCAAGTTAACTGCCAGTCTGAGACTTCCTTCCTTTCAGATCTATAGCTGGATCGATAACTTTGTAGCCGAGAATTCAAATATCGTCTCCAAAATTCACATTGGCAACAGTTTTGAAAATCGGTCCATTCTTGTTCTGAAGGTAAAAGTTCTGTGTCAACTAGTGGACTCTTCAGTGACAGCCTCTAGCATAAGATCAAGCCTGTGTAGGTAGTAACTGGATGGGAGTTCTGGGGACAGGAAAGATGTGCATGTTCCTGTCTTTGGGTGACTCATAAGCTTTGAAATATGGTATTCAGGGATCCACCCTTGTAGGTATGGGCAGGTGACAGTGCAGTGACCTTATCAGGAAATAGTGGGAGGGTTGCTAAGGAGACGGAGCTCCAGAGTGGCCATTGTCACCTGGACTTGGGGTGGGAGTGTGGGTGAGTCAGTGTTCTTCCTGTTGCTTCAGTTGCTTTATCTGTTAAGAGGGAAAAGAGATACAGTAAGGGCTCATCTGACAATGATCAAAGTCATCTGGCTCAGATAGTTCCATGAACAGGCCTGAGTCTCTGGGGAAGCCTCCCAGCCCTTCACAGGGGCCGCTGGAACAGTGCTTGAGCACATTTGGCAACTGCAGTCCCCTTGATCATGAAGGAAGCAGCATAGGTGAGTGCAGAGTCCAGTGGAAAAGAGTTCTTAGGGCATGTCCCCAAGGGCACCAGATGCACGGGCCATGCAGGGCACTTGATGTCAGTGGTCAGGAAGGACAAGAGCTACTGCTCTTAACAATGTTCTGCTGGACATTTCTGAACAGCAATGTGGCCTCGTCTCACCTGGCCCTAGACTTCAACTGTTTCTGCTTCCACCCCTGACCTGGCGCTGCCCCGGACTCTGTAATGTGGTCTGAGACCTTGCTTTTCAAAGTGTGGCCCCTGCACAGCAGCGTCCACATCACCTGGGAGACTGCATTTTGTAAATTCTGACCCTCAGACCCTCCCCAGACCTACGGAATCAGTATCCTCATTTGAGTTTTTCCTGTCTCTAACCTTCACTTCCTGCTCTTCTCCCCTGGTGAGCCACCTAGGCGAGCCCACCAGGGCCCTTAGACCAACCACAATGAGTTTATTGCCCATGTCTCCAACTCTGGCCCCTCTCCCAATCCTACAGACTCCTAGAGACTGGATCACTGAACACACCCCTCAGGTATCCCACAGGCACCACAGATGCACATATATATCTAAAATCTAAGCATATCATGTCCCCTTCTTTCCCTTACCCATTTTATCTGCCATCCCTTCACCACCCCTCTCTGCCCCCACCCCTCCACAAACACACAGACAGTGGCTTCCACTGAAATTGCCACTATCATTTTTTTTCCCCTCTCTCTCTTTTTTTTTTTTTTTGGTGGTGCTGAGGATTGAACTCAGGGCCTTGTACATATAAGGCAAGCACCCTACCAACTGAGCGATAGCCCCCTGCTCTCAGTTTCTGATACCACCCTGGGGGATACATGTGCTCATTAAAGTTTGAGAAGCATTAGTCTTAAGATGCCCTCAATTCAGGGAAATTCTATGCTTCTGGATCACTTTGCCCTCCAAGAGGCCCACTGTGTAGCCAAAGACCCCCATACATGTGCACTTCATAGGCCATGGGCTCCATGGGCACACGCTCAGGTGTGTGCACCCCAACTCCTGCCCAGGCTGGCATATGGCACCATCCCAGGCAGTGAAGTTATATCAGGGGACTCCTTCCAGGAAGCCCCAAGATGACACCATACTTGTCTTTGGTCAAACCTCCTTAAACCTCGTTTGGGGCCTGGTTCTTTATCCCAGTTCAGCACTGGAGGTTCCCGGCGCCCTGCCATCTGGATTGACACTGGGATTCACTCCAGGGAGTGGATCACCCATGCCACTGGCATCTGGACTGCCAAGAAGGTCAGCAGGGACCTGCAGCCAAAGTGGAGCTGGAGCTGGGGTGGAGCTGGAGCAAGGTGGAGATGGGGGTTGGGGCTGGGGGAGCTCTGAGGGTCCCTCTAGTTGAAGAAGTAGACTCAGTCACTTTGAATTCCAGTGCTCTATCCCCATCCCCTTTGAAACAGCTAGTATGTGCTCTGGCCTCTCGGAACACAGAGCCCGTCTCTACTCTGTCTTCCAATTGTTTCAAATTTAAGACTGGTTCTGTGTGAGGATGTGCTTGATGACCTGATGCCATCTCCACTTGCAGCTGCTAGCTGGACAGATGTCCTGTTCTGACTCTGAGGAGAGCCCAGCAGGGCCTCCCATCCCTCACCTTTTCTTGCAGATTGTCATTGAATTTGGCAAAAATGGCCTCCTGACAAACATACTGAAAGCCATGGACATCTTCATAGAGCTTGTCACCAACCCTGATGGGTTTGCTTTTACTCACAGCATGGTGAGGGCACCTGGGGAGTGTGGAGGAGGGGTCAGCCCTGGGGGAACCAGGGAAAAGTCACTGTGGCCTCTGGAGGCGGCCTCTTCAGGGTACCATAGCCCTGACTTCTTGCCCTTCAACCTCCTGACCAAGAAAGGTCACCACTGGTGACCTGTGATCAGTCCTCTCCGCAAACTTGATTTCAAGCATGCATCCTCGTCTGCAGTCTTGGCCCAGCCCCAGGCCAGACCCTCCTTGTCCTGGAGTTCTTCCCTTTGCTCCTTCCTGCCCCACCAGACTGCCCTTCATGGGCCAGAATATCAGCACACCCATCCCTGGGAGTGGGCCCAGTGAATGGGGTCACCTGATCTGGGCTTTCTCAGAACCGCTTGTGGCGGAAGAACAAGTCCAGCAGACCTGGCATCTTCTGCATTGGCGTGGATCTCAACAGGAACTGGAAGTCAGGCTTTGGAGGTATGGAGATCTGTGGTCCTGGGCACGGCTGGAGGAAGGAGTTGTTGGTCTCCCACACAGTCAGATTGTGTTGACTCATAACTTGAGGGGCAGGGCTATTGGAATTTGCTAATGTGCATGAGTCACGGTCAGGGACAGACAAGGACATACCTAAGATTGACCATGGGATGGGGAAGAAGTTGTATATGTGTGTCAAATGAATACCTAGGCCAAGCTTTCATGGGGACATTGAAAGGAGCCTCCATCTCCTAAAGGAGGATGAACTGCAAGGTCAAGTCCTAACATGGCAGAAAATAGCTAAGGAGGTATAAATGGTTTCACCCGTTGTCCAAAATCCAGAGTTTACAGTGTCCCCCAAGTGTCCCTGGCTTCTCTCTAGAGGGAACACAACACAAGGTCATGCTTCTGAACCCATTGTCCAAGAGCTGAGACTTACCCCTTGGGGAGATCAGAGAAGTAGTTCAATATAGAATGAACCAAGTCCTTATCATCCTTGCCTACTCAAGCCTAGTTTTCTTTTCTTTTTTTTATAAGCCTAGTTTTTATTCTTGAGCCATTATTTTGTGACTCTGTGCTGGCAGGCTGGTGGGCTAGTGCCTACCTGCAGGCTGCGTGGACCCACTGCTGGGTGGGCAACTTTCTCCCAAGTTTCGTGGTGTTCTTCCTTGACTGTCTCTCTCTCTCACCATGCCATGAACGCAAGGACTAGATGAGGAAACTGGGTTCTCCAGAAAGCCAAGAGACAGTACATGGACCCCAGAAATGCAGCAGAATGATGGGTGGGATGCTGGGGACAGCCGGGACAGCCTCCAGAGCACACACAGTCCTCAGTCCCCAGATGCGGTGTCCACATTCCACCATGGTGCAGGGTGGGTTTGACACCACAGGGGACAGTTCTATTGCTGTTGATAAGCAGATCTCTAGGCTGGTGGCCAAACCAATGATGTAGACCATTTTAGATCTGGATGTCCATTGTCCTGAAAATCTAGCTTCTTAGGGGTCTGTTCTCATTGAAAACTAAGGTAGTTCTGAAGCACTGGGAGTGAGGCCTCTAACTCTCCTGGTAGATGTTGCCTGGGGGGTCTGAGCTCTGCATGTAACCACTGCTGTAAAGGAACACAACCATGTAAAATTAGATGTTTCCTTCTCCAAATGACCAGATGCTTGCCCTGGATGGACATCCATGGGAACCCCTCTGAACTAACTGCAGTTCAATGCCCGCAGATCCTGGGGTAGCCCAGCTAGTAGAAAGACAAATTACCTCTTAAAGAAAATAACTTTTGTGGGTTTCTCTTATAGGACAAAAAAAATCTGTATATATACAATGTTAAAAACAATTAGGGAGAAAGAAACCCAGAGGGGCCAAAAAGCTCCCATAATCCCACTACCCAAAGATTACTGCTTTTAATAATTTACCATGTCCTTCCAGAGATTTCCCCTTGCTACAAATTACATTTTAGAGAAGGAAAAATAAATAGCTAATGAATCCATTAGCAGGTACTTGTGAAACAGGAAGGCTCAGAGGACCTTGACTGTGAACGTCAGAGAGGCAGGCAGCTAATTCCCATTTGGTCAGGGGAAGATTAGTTTATTCTGCTTAGCTCGAACCAGAACTAATGGCCTGAAGTGTTTCTCCATATTTGGGCAAAGCCACCTGGTCGTTGGCAGGGGAACTGCTTTCCCTGCGTGGGCTGCAAACACAGACAAAGCTCTCAGCCCGTCCCGCTCGGCTCATCTGTTGGTATTTGTCATTCGTCAAGTGGAGCAGGTGCAGAAGCTGCAGGCAGACACAACAAACAGGGCCACTGTTAGCCAGCCTGGGGGCTGCCTCGCACCCCCTTGCTCTCTGCAGACATGTCCCTTTCTACCTGAGGTCCCCTATCCCAGGCCAGGACCAGCCAACCTAGAGGTGATGGGCTCCCCAGTGACAGAACGGTCTCTGGGCAGCCTGTGACCAGAATTAGCAAGTTTCTGAGTTGGTGACTCAGGTGGGAAGATTTTGTTTATGGCTTTATTATTGCCTTAATTTAATTGCTGCATCATGGGTTGTCTGGAGACTGTGCACTTTTGGAGAGGATCAATTTGCTGCATTCCTAGATCCTCATTTGAACTGGTCCTTGGGCCACCGTGCTGGCCCTGGGGGCAAGAGGGGTGCTCTGGCATCCTCATGAGGCTTCAGAAGTTGGGGGGATCCCTAGCCTCTGAACCAGGCTTGAAGGCAGCTATTTTCAGGAAGAAAAAGGATAGGGGAACTGGGATAGCTCCTTGTCCATGAGACTGTAACCCACAAATCTTGACCAGCCTGGTTCAGCCCTCCACAATGTGGCTTTTGGTGAGGAGCACAGAGGAGTGGAAGAGGAAGAAAGGATGAGGGAGCAAAGAATCTAGGAGGAGATGGGAACAGATTAAAACTGTCAAAAATATATGGGGGGGGAGGGTACAGCTCCTCTTTGTCATCTCCCCTAAGTAGGTCCTCAAGAAGAATTCCCAAAGACTTCTTGCATCTGTGCTTCCCAGTTCAGATTCAGGCAAATATGGGAATCTGCTTTCTTTTCCTGGCCCCCCAAGTCTATGGAGCTCCTGGGGCCATGTCTGGGGCAAAGCTTGAGCAGACACTAGGTCTGAGCCCTCAACATCAGTGAAGCCAAGAAAGAGCAGCTGAAGGTGAAGCTGAGATTGGGGCAGAAACCCAGAGTTTCTCCTAGATGCATCTTCTGAAGCAGGCCTGCCTTTCCAATGGAACCACAGTCAGGTCTTACCTGAAGAGCAAGCCAAGGGGGCTCCTTCAGTTTATAGAGTTGCTGGGTCATGATGTGGCTACAGTGCTCTGATGTATGAGACCAGAGTATGCATCAATAACAAACACCCCTTCAAATCTTAGTGGCTTACTGAAATAAGAGTTTGTTTTACATGAGCACAAAGTCTAATGTAGGCAGATGATTTCCATTAGCAGTTTTCATTCAATGGTAACAGAGGGACACAGGATGCCGCTTTTTTCTAGAATATTTTGCTTCTAACCAGAAGTGACACATCATTTTTGCTCATGTTTTTGTTGTTCAGAAGTAGTCACATGACCTCAACCAAACTGCAGAGGAATCTGGGAGATATGAGGGAGCATGTGGGTGTTTTGTGAGCCACAACCAGGAATTCCAACCCTTTGGATGATTTTATTTTACTTCCAGGAAATGGTTCTAACAGCAACCCCTGCTCAGAGACTTATCATGGGCCCTCACCACAGTCAGAGCCAGAGGTGGCCGCCATTGTGAACTTTATCACAAAACATGGGAACTTCAAAGTTCTGATCTCCATCCACAGTTACTCTCAGATGCTCATGTACCCTTATGGCCACTCTATGGAGTCTGTTTCAAATGAGAAGGAGCTGGTAAGATTGAGCTTGGGGGAGGAAGAGGTCCCTCCTCCAGGAAAATCCATATCTGGCAATTCCCAGGGGTACTGGCTCTCCTGAAACAACAGTCTGGATCAATGTGCCCTGTGGTAGGGAGGAGGGGGAGCTTGTTCTCATTCAAGTTCAAAGCTGGAGGTGCTGTGCTACCTTCTCACAAGAGCTATCCGCATGATCGACTTCTGGGACTCCTCAATCCATGCTTCTCACCACTGCTGAGGGTGCTGGGGTGTGTGGGGAGCCACTCTGAGCCCTAGCCTCTCACCCTCTGGCCGCCATCTTGCAGCACAGTCTTGCACAGGATGCAGTGAAGGCCCTGTACCAGGTGCACGGGATCCAGTACATTTTTGGCAGCATCAGCGCCACCCTCTGTGAGTGAGCCTCCCTGGCTACTGCCCTAGATGCCACATCCACCTGGGGATCAGGCAGGTGCAGGCTCTGGGCTGCCTGGCAGATCTGGTCAGCCACAGGGTAGTACTGTTAGAGCTAGCTGGGCCGCTCAGAGCTGCCTTCCACATCTGGAGAGAAGGGTGGACCGTGGTGCCCAGGCAGCTGTTTCTTTGCAGCAGCAATGCACAGCTCTCAGTGCCTGGCTTACAGCAAAGTTCCCTCAGGGGAAAGATGGTCTGCTGGCCTCTGGGGGCTTTCCTTTTGCAGGGGGAGAGATGGGCTGGGTAGGCAGGGTGTGGCCCAGGAGGAGGCCTGGGCCTAGAAGCTTAGTGTTGTCTGGGCTGGCTGGGGATTTGGTTCCCAGGGCCCACTTTCAACTCAGGATTCCTTTGACCCCTGTGACCATACTCTCTCCTTCCTTTTGGGGGCACTTGTTGGCCCTTTGGTTTGCAGATGTGGCCAGTGGGATCACTGTGGACTGGGCCTACGACAATGGCATTAAGTATGCCTTCAGTTTCGAGCTCCGGGACACAGGGCGCTATGGTTTTCTGCTGCCAGCCACACAGATCGTCCCCACAGCCCAGGAGACGTGGATGGCAATACTGACCATCATGAAGCATGCCCTGCATCACCCCTACTAGCAGCACTACTGGAGCCAGAGCAGGTGGGGTTCGCCCTCCTCCCCAAGGCCTGGGACTCCTGAAACCCAAGTTATATATATCCCCTCCCTGCACCCTCTCCCAGATCCCTAGGAAATAAATGCAAGTTTAAACAGGCTTCCCGTCTCTAGTATTGGTTGCTACCCTTTTGGGTTCAGCATTAAATAGGGGACAGAGAGTTGCTCATGCCTAGGGACACTTCTTCATGCCACTGCTACCTTCAGGAACATGAGGGACTTGCAGGTTGCATCATTTCTTATTTTGGAATGTTCTCAGAGCCAGAAATTGAGACCTCACCCCTGGGAAGCTGCTAAAATACACATTGTCTCAGCAGTATTAACATTTTAACATGATGTGGAGGGAAAATGTTTGATCTAAAGGAGAGGATCTGTAAAGATGGCATTTCTGGGCCCTTGAGGAAGAAGTGGGTCCAGACAGGCATCCTCCGCCTGCTTCATTCCCCATAAAGAAGAGAAGGCAGGTGTGTATTTCAGAGGTGCCCACTCAGAGGATCCCACTAACCACATAGCCCAATATGAACAAGTCACTGGTTTGTGACCATGGAACAATTACTCCAGGCCAAGTCATGTGTGAAGGCACATTTCTACAAGAAAATTAAAGGGGGTGCTGTCATGAGAGCCTCATGGGGTGCCTTCACCCATCCCCAGCTTTCCTTCTACCTTGACCTTCCCTTACCATGGGGGAGCTGGGATCGTGGGTCTCCCTGCTCTGCTACTAGGGGAGGCAGAGACTCCCCAGAAGCAAGAAAATAAGAGCTGAGTGGGGTTGAGAGTATCTTGAGATAGAAACTCTAGTCTTGAGAGTAAGACCTCCATTTGCAAGAACCAGGCTCTCTGTGTATGTGTGTGTGCATACAGGTGAGAGGAAGGAACTGTGGATGACCATGAACCAGTCCTTGGAGAACAGGGACAAAAGCAGAAAGAATTAAGAAGCGCCCCCTCCCTTTCCCTAGCCTGTAAAAGGAGAAGCGGTCGGGCTGGTTGGCAGGAGGAGGAAGTCTGAGATGATCAAACCCCAGGCAAGGCCCATATCCATGATGGCGTCTGAGCAGCAGATTAATAAGTGACTAAGGGAGGGGCTGCATAGACGTTAGAGGCCTATGGGCTGAGTGCACCACAGTGGTGCGGCTGTTAGGAGCTCTGAGCAAAGAACTCGGGTCTCGGGTGGGGAGGCCTATGGTAGAGGCAAGAAGGCCAAGTCCAAGGGCCATGCGCCAGCTGCCACGATGATACAATGGGCACTGGCTAGGCATCTGAATGCCCAGGACGGGCTCTGCTGGGGAAGCCCTAAGAAAGGCAGGGGACTTAGTCCCTGAAGAACCTGGACAATCTGCAGGGGAAAAGCCAGCCACAGAGGAGGGGGAAATCCTGATTCTGGTTAAAATCTTCCACAAGGCTGAGGGAGACCAAGGGTTTTGTTTTGGTTTTGTTTTTAAAGCTGGAAGTAAGATGGATTTTCCAACCTGAAGTTTTCTGCCGTCATGAGAAAAATTAATACAAAATATAAAGTTGAATTCTACCTTTACACACTGGAGTGTGAGATTATAATTTCTTTTATGTCCTCTATACAAATTATATATATCTATATATCTAAATCTATATATATATATACACACACATACATAGATATCTCTATATATCTCTCTATATATCTCTCTCTATATCTATAATTATCTATCTATATCTAAAGGATTGATTGAACCCTGTGGGGTTGGGGGGAGGGTGTTTTACCATTGAGTCATATCCCAATCCCTTTTTATTATTTTTATTTAGAGACAGGATCTCTCTGAGTTACTTAGGGCCTCACTAAGTTGCTAAGGCTGGCTTTGAACTCATGATCCTCCAGCCACAGCCTCCTGAGCTGCTGGGATTATAGACATTAGCCACCACAGCCAGTTTACACAAATATTTGTATTGTATCGTCATGGAGGTGGGGTATTACTGGTATTAATAAGCTCATTTTTTGAGATAAGCAAGATGTGAAGAAGTTTTAAAGGTCACACAGATAGAAAGTTGAGGACAATTTGAACTTGGACTTTTCTAACTCCAAAACCACAATGTCACTGTTTGTCCACATGTGGCCCGTGGTCTGCCTGCAGCAGAGAGCATGGAAAGCTGTTTAACGTGGTGGTATTTCGGTTCTATCCCCCAGATGACACAGGTTGCCTGAGATGGGGCCTGATGACTCTCTTGCAGAGTTGGGGAAGCTCTAGCTTAGAGGAAGGAGTATTTGGGCTCTGATGGTCTTCCTTAGAGCCATGGACATGGTAATTTCTTTTCCAACACCTACTGTGTCCCAAGCGTGGTTCTCAGGACATTATGCGATTCTGCACAGGGCCTTCTCTTAACTGTAAGAGGAGAGTATGAGTGTCCTTATTTTCTAAGCAGAAGCACAGGTCCTAAGAGCTTGGCAGATGAAGGGCACATGGTTCCCCACCTGCCTCCAGACCCTGAAGCTGACTCTCGCCCAGGGCCCCTTAGGACTACTGGGAACTGGATTTTGCAGCCCGGTTGGCTAGATCTCTAGGCAGACAATGAGCACACAAAAGTTGGAGCTGACACTGCTTTTGGAGGTCTTTTGATAAGGCAACAGCATCTTCAAAATCCCCCCATGGCTTGAAATGAAACCCCTCCAAGAGCTGCAGGACCCCCTGTCTTGCTCTCCCTCCTTGTCTCAATAACTTGCTCACCAGCTCCAACCTCAGTAGCATCCTCCCTGCTTCCTTCAGCACCAAAGCTGCTTCCCAGCCCCAGGCCTGGGCCTGTGCTGCTGCTCCTCATCTGGAAACTTCTTTCTCCCACTCTTCCCCTTCAAGTCCTAGGACCATCCACTGGGAGTAGACATCCTGGTAGCCCCAGGCACACAGAAGAGACTCAATGTTTGTTGAAGGACTGTTTCTCCTCCTCAGTCTCAAATAAGTTTTTCTCTATGTGACAGAAACCCGCCTCGCTGTGGCTTAACCCATTAGGGGTTTTATTTTTGTCATGTAGCAAGAAGTCCTCCGCAGTGGACTGGCTTGGTAATTCCTTCATGGGGACCCAAACCTTTCTAAATTATTCTGCTTTGCCTTCTCCTATACATGTGTCTAGCAATGTCACATAAACCTTAACAATGGGGTCAAGTCCTGAGAAAGGTGTCATTAAGTGATTTTTATCATGTGCAAACATCCTAGAGTGTATTTATACAAACCTAGGTGACTTTTACACACATACACTACTGCGTGTGTGTGTGTGTGTGTGTGTGTGTGTGTGTGAGCATGCATGCGCGAGCATGCATGCGCAGTAGCCTATCAACTCCTAGGGCAGTAATGAACACAACAAGAGATTAAGTCAGGCACAAAAGAAAATGATGCAATCCAGAGATTCAGGAACAGCTGCTCCTGGTATAAAAGTCACACTGTTTTACAGTAAACTTTTTTTTTTAAGTAGGAGTATGTTCTAAAATAATAATCAGAAGTAGAGTGTAGTAAATACAGAAACCAGTAGCACAGTCATTGACTGTCTTGATCAGTATTATTACTCCACATAATTGTCTGTGCTCTACTTGTACAGGTCTGGCAGCTGGGAGGTTTGTTACATCAGTGCAAACCCAGGAGCAATGCGGTATACCACAGCCACCTTACAATGGCTACATGTCACTAGGCAAAAGAAAAAAATTCAGCTCCATTATAATCTTATGGGACCCCTGTCATTGGTGGTTGGCCTCAATGTCACTGTGCAGCACATTTCTTGTATTTTGACAGGTTGCAAGATGGCTTCTCTACCGTCATCGTAAGACTAAATTCCAGGCAGGAAGAGCAAGGGGGAGAACGCGAGCCAGCTGACTGGGCTGGTCCACAGACTTCAATGTATATGTTATTGGTTGAACTGTGTCATGTGGCCACACCCAGCTCCAAGGGAGGCTGAGAAATTGCTGTACAGCTGGGCAAATTGCTGCCCCCAAATAAAAGTGGAGTCCCATTGTTAAGGAGGAAGGGGAGAACAGATGTTGGGAAGGCAGTCAACAGAGCCTGTGACATCTTTTCTGGGGGGCAGGGAGAATCTGAAGGGCCTCTTGCTGTAGGCAATCATGAAGCCATAGAACTTTCCAGATGTTGTAGACCAATCCTCTAATTTTGCAGTTATAAAGATTGGGGCTTCTGGTTGATGAAATTTACACAAGGCCCGTGTGACTGTAATGGCTGAGAGAAGAGTAGAGCCAGGTTCATGCCCAGTTCCGGCTCATTGCTGCTTCCCCCAGGACTGAGAGGCGGCCTACACAGTAGCCTGTATGTTATCTCCTCTGCAAACCAAAGGAGATAATAATGCCTGGGAGTTTAAGTATATGAAACTAAACCTCAAGACTTAGGCATGTAAGAGTTAGAAAAATTATAGAAGAATTTTTCTATGTTTTATAAAACCTGAAATTTTTTTTTTTAATTTTCTTAAGTATATAATGCTAAATAGGAGCTCAGTTTTTCTACATTCTGTATGGTGTTTTTTTTTCCTCCCGACAACCACTCTTTTTAGGTATGTTTTTTCATCCTTTTCACTGGTAAAATTTATGAGCATTTATTTAAAAGAAAAAAAACATTGGAAAATCTGAAGAGAGAAAGAGCGATTATACATATGGAAACCCATAAAGAACCACAGCGAATGTGCTGCGGTTATTGCTTTCTTAAGAAAACAAACCAACCAGGCAGTTTGGAATGTGAGAGTCCTGTGTGAGGCCAGCCAGCGGCAGAGGCCGAGGGTGATGGGCCAATGGCCGCCATCCAAGAGGCCAGTGAGGTGCCGTCCACTTCCCCCATCCTCCTCCATCCCCCCTCTGATCACTTCAGATAGACACTGGGCCAGAAAGAAAATGACTTTACAAAAAAAAAAAAATTTTTTTTTTTTAAATGTAAAATTCTTCTTTAGAAAAACAAGAAGGCCCAGGCAGTCAGCTGGTACAGGCTGTGAGAGAATCCAGGGAACGTGGGTGCGTAAGTGCTTCAGAGCTGGTCAGTAGACCGACATGATGCGTAGGAGGGAGTGAGAGGCCTGCTGCAGACCAGGGCAGGAGGTCAGCCAAGGGCAGGCCCAATGGGATGGATCTGTGGAACATGTTACCGTTCCCAAGGATGGTCCCGTCTGAGAACCTCGAAGGCTGATCTGGCTGCCTGGATTTGTCCTTCCAACCTCCTCAGAGGAACACTGCTTGTCACTTTGTTGATGTCTGAGAGCCAGGCCTAGCTGCTGCCCTTTCCAGACACAGTCATGAGTGTGTTGGGACGGAGGCTGGGGTGGGCTCTGCCAACTGTTCCCCAGCAACAAGTCCATTTCCTGGCCTGCAGCTGTGGGTTCTACTGACTCCACTTGATGTGGGCTGCTGATGTGGCAGCTAGGCTGCCAGCCTCCTCCGCCTTGTCCCCAAGAGTGGCCTGCCTGAGTGGGACATGACTGCCTTCCATCTCAAGCTTGGGGGCAAAAAATATTCTTCTTGGTGTTTTGAAGAACAACTGTAGCCTGTTTGGTCTTCCAAGTTTCTTCTCTGAGTATTTGGAACATTCCCTGGAAATAATAACATGCTTGCAAATCCATTCCATTTGGCTTGCCTGTGGGTATCCTCTTGTCCTGGGGTCTGCATTGGCCTCTTGCTCTCTCCTAACCACCTTCGCCCAGCTCTGTGGCTCTCCTTCCACTTCCCTTCCCCTTCAGCGCTCCTCCCCCAGTTCCCCAAACCATAGCTAAGACACTATGGGGGAGTATTTTATAAACTTGTCCTTGGGATGAAGAAAGAAAATACATTACAAGAAAAAAAAAAAAGAACCACTTAAGTTGGACACTGGATATCTCTGGTGTTAGAATTGGTGTTTCCTGTCCTTTCATGGGTTAATCCCAATAGGTCTTTGCCTTTCTTGACCTTCTGTTGGCTCTGACATTGCCTAGTGCTCTTCCCCACAGGATGCTCCCAACTCTCCTCTCAAGCTCAGCAGAAGCACCCTCCCTATTTGTCCTTGTACATGGTGGCTTGTCCTGGCTTAGCTCCTCTCTGCTGCAGGCCTCCATTCTGAGATCTGGGCTTTCTCTTGACATTTACTGAAAACCTGTCCAGCTGTGACACTGCATGATTTTCTAGGACATTTGATTTTTTTTTTCCTGCAAAACAAATCAAATTTTATCCAGCCCTTGCCAGTGACTTCCTCCTGAGTATAGATCCCAGCCTGGTGGTTTCTTTCTGGGTCATGAGCCTTGATGCTCTGCCTGTCCCCCAGCTTTGGGCCTAAGGGTCCCCAACTTTGCCCTTGCTTTGGACCAACATGAAACAATCCATGGCATGGGCAGGCAGAGCTGTGGCCTCACCCCTCAGCTACATTCTAGAATTTAGTCTTTAGCAAGAGATAACTTGTAGTTTCCTGAGGTGCTCTGGAGGGACCCAGGCTTAGCTTCCCCCTGAGTCTGTCCCCTACTAGTATGCTGCCAGCCTCCTATCCAGTAATTTCAGTTTATAGCATTGAACTCATCTTTTCCCGCTTCATATACATTGTATGATTTGGGGGCATCTTTGATGGCTGGTTGGAGGCAGAATGAGGCACTCTATTTTTGTGTGTGGTACTAGGTATGGACCCCACTGAGCCACATCCCCAACTCTTTTTATTTTGAGACAGGGTCTCACTAATTGCCCAGGCTAACCTCAAACTTGAGATCCTTTCCTAGTGTGAAACAGAAGCTTGAGGTCCCAGTACTGCCGGATGAGGGACAACCCTGAGCAATGGGTAGGACTAGGCTCCTGGCCTGAGGAAGTTTACAGTCTCCTTAAGGAGACAAGAATAACACCCCAGGAACAATGAAGGAGAAATAAATGTGAATTCTGCGTTCAAGTATCAGTTCCCCTTTCCCTCCCTCCCATTGGGATCCAGGTCAAAGGCTACCCCTTGATGAACCCTCTCCTTGAGAGCCCTCACGAACCTTTTCATATAGCATCACAGAAAATGTGCAGTTAGGGTCTTTTGTAGTGAGGACAGCAGCCCCAGTGAGTCCCTGGAGGTCTAAGTCTGTGTCGTCGCCAGCTTCTCAGAGACCAGCTTCTCAGAGTCTGACTCCTACAGGAGCACTGTGGCCAGGAGTGAGGCTGGGAAGTCCCTTTCAATGGCCTAGACCCCAGAGGGGATGTGCCCTGTACAGGGCTGCACAAAACCAGGAAGGCATGGAGCCAAGCAGATGCAGGAGCTGGATGAGGCAGGGGACCCCAACTCTATTCTAAGAACAGAGCTGGTACTCAGAGGTATGGGAGAAAGAGACACCTCACACAAGGCCCCAGTTAGCCGGTTCCTTCTGCTTTGCTAGACCCTGAGGTCCCCAAGGTCAAGGCGGTCTGACTGGGCATTGCGGCAGGGTGGAGCTCAATGGCTGGGCCAGAAGGTGAATGAACAAAGGGGTGGTCCTTCCAAGAAGGAGCAGATTTGGCTCGCCTGTGAGTTTCCTCTTGCCCTGGGTCTGCAGTCGGCTTCTTGCTCTCTCCTAACCAGCTTCACCAAGCTCATCCAACAAGGAGCAGATTGGGGAGAAAGGCGGCAGAGGAAGCCTCACAGGGCAGTGAGCCCTGCCTGGGTCTGGAGCTCAGGCAGGGCAAGGGGCGGGGGGACTTCAAGTCTGCTGAGGGGATATCCAAGTTTATGGTCTTCCTAGGCTCCAGACAGAGTTGCGTGCATAAACAATGGGCCACCGTGCCTTGGACTAGCAGGGCTGACCGAGAAGTGGGTGTGGTGAGGAGGCCAAGGGAACAGATTGAAACCAGAAAGGACCTCCTGTGCCGTCATTACCCGCCAAGCCCCTGATACAGAGCAGGGCCCCAGGTGGTGCTGGTGAACCCCTGGGGGCCCTGTGGATTAGGGTGGATTTGGGTTACACGTCTCTGCAATGAGATCAGCAACCAGAGCCAAGCAAATTCCCTTGGTGAGTTCCCAGCTCTCCTGTCCACTGTGCTATCCCAGCATGGGTCTGGCCCTGCTCCCACAGCCCTTTCTATTCAGATTACCTCTGGTTCTAGTTTCTACCAAGGGCATCACAGACCCTGGGGACCCATGGTGGTGGGGTGGGGGGCAATGCTGGCTGGAACTGGGTTTCTGATTCAGTTGCTGCTGCTACAGTCTGACTCCTACAAGAGCACCTTGGCCAGGAGTGAGGCTGGGAAGTCCCTTTCAATGGCCTAGACCCCAGAGGGGATGTACCCTGCACAGGGCTGCATAAAACCAGGAAGGCAAGGAGCTGAGCAGATGCAGGAGCTGGGTGAGGCAGGGGACCCCAACTCTATTCTAAGAACAGAGCTGGTACTCAGGGGTATGGGAGAAGGAGACACCTCACATAAGGCCCTAGTTTGTGTCGCCTCTGGAAGTCCTGGCCCCTTTTCCACTGGACCCTAAGCAAACTGGACCACAGCCCAGCTGCAGGTGCCTGGGGCTATGGGCCACAGGTGAGTCCCAGCTGGGAGACCTCAGGCCCAGCTGATCCTCATGGCCAAGGGCGGGCCTGGCTTATCTTTCCAGCTGCCCCATTCCCTACCACTTTATCATATCAGGGAGGGTGAGAAGGTGCCAGAGCTTGGAACCCCCACCCCCCCTTCCTGTGAGACCTGGTCCAGGTGCAAGAGGAGCACAGCCCTCGGGCACAGCCAGGAGAACGCTGCCCTGGGTTTAAAAGGCCCAGATCTCAGTGTCAACCTCAGTCTGACCTTTACGGCTGCAGCATGAGGGGGCTGCTGGTTTTGAGTGTGCTGCTGGGAACTGTCTTTGGCAATGAGGACTTTGTGGGGTAGGAGTGTGGAGAGGAGGAGGACGAGAGCCCAGAGGGGAGACGGGGAGGACTCACCCTAGCCAGTGTCTGGAGGAGACAGACATGCAGGAACCAGCCAGAGAGCACGGCTGGCACCACCCTGGGGCGGCAGGCTGGCGGAGGTCCAGGTCTCTCAGGACAGTCTGAGCCTTGGAGATGAGGAGGAATTTGCAGTAGAGGAAGAGAGAGGAGGCCTGGCCAGCTTGGGAGAGAGAAAAATAATCTAAATAGATGGGGACAGCAACAAGTCTAGAATTTTCCAAGATGGGGAGAGCCTGGATTCCCATGGCAGAGACTTTGGTGCCTCTTCCTACTTCAAGCCAGAGGACCCAGGCCCACACTGGGGATCCCAGGCTGCCTCTTTCCTGCTCTGGGGAGTGTTGGCAGCCAGGGCAGGAACTGGCTGGGGTGCTCAGTTTTCCTCCCACTTTGCCCAGGCACCAGGTGCTCCGAATCTTTGCAGCTGACGAAGCCCAGGTGCAGAAGGTGAAGGAGCTGGAGGACCTGCAGCACCTGCAGGTCAGAGGCAGGGAGACCCAGAGACCCCATGGTACCTCCCAGGCCAGCTGGGCTCCCTACTCCCCGACTTTAGTCACTGGTACCTCCCAGAAAGAGTCACTGGACTGAATGGGCCCGGTTAGGAAGTGACTTCAATCCCCCAGTTTCAGATCTTGCTGCCCTGGAGCATCTAACAAAGTGCCAGAACCCCCTTTCCATTTCCTTATCTCTGCCCCTAACTCCCATGCTCCATCCCCCTCTATACTGAGGCTTTTGGCACCAACACCCTCTCCCAAGCTCATCCTGTCCCAGGCTGCTCTCCTGGCTGATGTCTCTAGCCCACTCAAACAGTGCCGGCTTCTGTCCTCCTCAGCTGGACTTCTGGAAAGGCCCTACCTGGCCTGGCACGCCCATCGACATCCGAGTGCCCTTTCACAGTCTCCAGGCTGTCAAAATCTTCCTGGAGGCCCAGGACATCAGGTACGAGATCATGATCGAGGACCTGCAGTCACTGCTGGATGAGGAACAGGAGCAGATGTTCGCCTTCCGGGCCCAGGTCCAATCTACCGACACCTTTAACTATGCCACCTACCACACCCTGGAGGAGGTGAGGGCAGCCCTTTGGCCACTCCCCTCAGGCACCACTCTCTTCCTCACAGCGGGCAGAGCATGGACCCGAGTCAGGGTCAACCTGAGTGTGGGAGGCACCTGCTCTGTCTATATGTGACTGGTGTGATCCAGGTCATGGCTCCATCACATTGCAGGACTGTTGAGGGAGGTGTCTGGGCACCCAGAAGCCACCAAGGTCCTTCTTCCCTTCTTTCCCATCTCAGATCTATAACTTCTTGGACCTGCTGGTGGCTGAGCACCCACAGCTTGTCAGCAAGATCCAGATTGGCAAAACCTATGAAGATCGACCCATTTATGTGCTGAAGGTAAAAGGGTACCCACATGTAGATGTTCTCGGGCACATGTAGATGTTCATAGCCCCCACCATGGGCATCTGTATATGGGCATGGGTCTCACACTGTTATACAGATTCCCTGTGTAGACATTTGGGAAGGTCTGAGCTTCCCGGCTGGCCTGGGTGTGTTAGGTGTGTATATACAAGTACACACACAATTTAAACTTTTCGGTGACCCAAGTGTTTTCAACCAAGTGTCACAGTATGGAAAGTATTCTGGGTAGCACAGGCAAGAGTTTTGTTGCTGACCTCCCACAGAGAACTGTACAGAGCAGGGGCCTGCAAGTCAGGTTGAGCCATATTGGCTCCAAGCTGGGGCTGGGGGCGGGAGGTCAAGCTCTGTGGGATCTCTGTTCAACCCACCTGAGGGGTGGTCCCACAAACAAAGCTTCAACCTGAGATACCAGAGAACAGGTGGCCTCTGGCCTGGGGGGATTTCCCTTTGGGGAATCCACCTTCCCCTTGCCCATTTCCCTGCCCCTTCCCTAGTTCAGCACTGGAGGGAACAACCGTCCTGCCATCTGGATTGACACAGGCATCCATTCCCGGGAGTGGGTCACTCAGGCCAGCGGAGTCTGGTTTGCAAAGAAGGTAGGTCTGGGGAGGTGAGGAGAGCTCTCGCCTGGTGGGGACTGGTACCCAGGCCCACAGAAACCCTGGCATCCCCTTTCCCTTCCAGAAGCAGTGACCCCAGAGGTGTTCATTGCTCAGCATGGCAGATGCCTGATTGGAGCACTCTGCCCTCTCCCTCTCTTGCCTCCTCCCACCAGATCACTCAAGACTATGGCCAGGACCCCGCTTTAACTAACATTCTTAATAACATGGACATCTTCCTGGAGATTGTTACCAACCCTGACGGTTTTGCTTTCACCCACAGCAAGGTACAATCTTTCTGTTCTCGAGGAAAGTGGGATGTCCTCTGGCCTTAGCCCCACAAGCGATTCACCCTCTCCCAGCCCCCTAAGTTGTGGGAGGGGTGAGCAGAACTGCCCTCCTGGACAGGATCCTCAGCCTGACACTATGGACATTTTGGTCAGGTGGTTCTTTGTTGTGGGGGCCAACCTGTGCATCTCCTCCTACCCACTAGATACAGTAGCACCTCCCACTTCCCTCCAGTTGGAAAAACCCAGAGTATCTTCAGATACTATAAAATGATGGACAAAATTGTCCCCAGTTGAGACACACCACCCCAGACCTTGCTTCCTGGTCCTACTTTTATTTTTAACACAAATATAGTTTCTGATGCAGAGTACAGTGGTCTGGCTGATCCCTTTTCTTTCCTCAGAATCGCATGTGGCGCAAAACTCGATCCCTCACATCAAACTCCCTCTGTGTTGGTGTGGACCCCAACAGGAACTGGGACGCTGGCTTTGGGAGTAAGGCCCAGTGTGATTTAGGGGGCAGGCATGGGACCACCCAGAACAGCTTCTTACCCTCCTGGCTAGTTGCACAAGCAGTGAGGAAAAGCTAACAAGTGGGGTGTTAGCCCTGTACCTGGGCTTTCAGAGTTGGAGGTCCTTGTCTGTAAAAGGAAGTTCCTTCTAGATAGAACTAAGGTCTGAAAGTTCATCTCAGGGTTTTCTCTCCTAACCTCAACTCTTTCCTGTCTCTGCCACATCACTGGAAAAACTGGCCTCAGTTTAGGCCAAACCTGGCTGGTAAGGGAGGCAGATCCCCAGATTATAAGAAGGCTTTGGTCTTTCCTTAACGAGGACCTGGATCCTACCTCTCCCAACTCCATATAAAGAACTGGGAACTGTGGAAGCCCTATAAGCCATACCACTTTGGTTAGAAAATGCCAGCTCTGCCCTCTGCCCTCCCACAGATGCTGGCTCCAGCAGCAATCCCTGCTCCGACCAGTACCGAGGCAAGTTCCCCAACTCAGAAGTGGAGGTCCAGTCCATTGTGAACTTCGTGAACAACCACGGGAACATCAAGGCCTTCATCTCCATCCACAGCTACTCCCAGCTCCTCCTTTACCCCTATGGCTACACATCAGAACCAGCCCCTGACAAGGAAGAGCTGGTAGGTGCTGCCTGTTTGCCCTTCATCCCAAGGGCAGCTTTGGGCAGGCCTGGGCTTTCACCCAACAGAGCTGCCTGATGGCTGAGAGCCAGTGTGCTCAGCACCCCTTCTTCCCTTATACCCCTGATGATTTAGAAAGACCAGCTACTGGACTAGCCTTTCTTTCTTTCCAGGAAACTGAGGCACAGAGTGGTTGAGCAAGGGGCAGGGCTGGACTTTCAACTTGCAGCACTACACTCAGAGGTGCACTGTAACTAAAGGGAGGGGAAGGGACAGCCATCCATATTGCAGGAACAGAGGACCATGGCGTTGCTGATCACCTGTGGGGCAGAACAGGCTCTGTGTTCTCTCCCATGGGCCCCCTTCTGCAGGTGCTGCCCTGGGACCACCCTGCCAGCTGGACTACTCTGTCCATGATAGTGGCCTTGCTTGTGTGTTTTACAGGATAAACTGGCCAAGTCTGCTGTGACAGCTCTGTCCTCTCTGTACGGGACCAAATTCAAGTATGGCAGCATCATCACAACAATCTGTAAGTGGCTTTACAATCTTTCTAGGTTGGTCCCCAGACCAACATCAGCTGGCTCTTCCTGCCCAAGGGAGCATCCCTCATGGAAGGAAGCAGCCAAAGGCACCCGGACCAGGGAGCATGGGTGTGCACCCAGGTCCCTTATGCCTGACAACTTCTGGTTTGGTCATTTGGAGAAGTGCGCAGAACCTTTTTCTGGCAGAACCTTTAACGCTTTCAATTGTGGGTTCCTTTGAGCACACTTGTCACTTTAGCTTGTCAGGACTCATGCATGGATGAGGTGGAGAGCTCTGCTGGAACTCACAGATCCCCAGGAAATTTAATTAAAGAAAACACTTATCCATCACCCTTTAATTAAGGAATATACTTGATCTTTTCCCCACTTGCTTATACTGTACATGCGATGCCCGTGGGAGAAGCATTACTACACGGAAATGGAATTCAGTCAGCAAATGCTTAGTGAGCACCCATTCTGCACCAGGCCCTGTTTTGTGTGCTTGGGATATAACTATGAATAAAATAAGCAAAGTTCAGAAAACATATGCTCTAGGAGAGGATACTGACAACCATCTTAAGTAAACAATTCAGGTTAGGCAAAAAAAATGCTGGTGAGAAAAACTGGCACCCAGAGCTGGGTGAGGAGAATCGGGCAGCACAGTGTGGAGGTTAAAAACTGAGGGTTAGAGGCAAGTGGCTGGAGGCAGGTGGAATTTGGGCCAGTGTTGAAGGAAATGAGCAGGAAACCAAGAGGATATCTATCTAGGAAAGGGCCTTCCAGGCAGAAGAACTTTCTGGGTAAAGGCTTTACTATGTGTTCTGGCCTGGTGTGTTTTGGGAATAGCCAGGAAACTGAATTGGAGTACTGGAAGTCAGAAGTGGGGTACAGGGAACAGAGGGGTGGACTGCACACCCACCTCATGTACTTCCTGGCCCGTGTGCCCAGGTTTTAGGGGGTGAGTGGATCACAGTCTTACCCGGGGATAACTTCATTTTTGATTCCAGACCTTCTTTAGAAACTGTTCGAACCTAAAGGAGTTTGTTGCATTTGATATCATCAAGTTAAATTCTTTTTTTTTTTTTAAACTGAGGAGTAAACCCAGGGGGCACTTAACCACTGAGTGACATCCCCAGCCATATACCCCCAGCCTTAATTTTTCAACATAGGGTCTCACTAAGTTGCTCAGGACCTTGCTAAGTTGCTGAGGCTGGCTTTGAACTCGTGATCTTCCTGCCTTAGGCTCCCAAGCCACTGGGATTACAGGCATGCGCCATGATGCTCAGCAGTCAAGTTAAATTCTGATATGCAGCCTGCCTCTCTCTCCCCCAGCTCAATTTGAAAGTGGCTTCATTACCCACATTTCACTGCAAACCTGGAAAACTTTCTCCCTAAAAGACAGACCCAGGGCTTTCACTTTGACTCTGAATCTTTGCACTTTTACCTGCAGACCAGAGCCCCCAGAGAATTAAACCTCCTCTTCTAAATGGAGAATTCTGGTATATATATATAAAATTCTGTTATATTTCGAGGTGTCCCTGAGGTGACTATTGGATGGAGACACTTTTCAGACAGGCTTTTGCAAGTGTGTTCCCCAATGAATGGGGCAACCAATGCTGGCCTCCTCTTTGGGCTTTTTGGACTTAGGCCGAGCAGGAATTTCTTAGAAGCCAGGCTGCTTGGTCAACAGCAGACCTTGCTAGACACAGACTCTGCTTGGCATTGCACAAATCTTGGCATTGCACTGGCCTATGTAAATGTTTCCAAAATGACTGACCCTTCCTCTGTTTTCACTCTGGCCCCAGATCAAGCCAGTGGAAGCACTGTTGACTGGACCTACAACCAGGGCATCAAGTACTCCTTTACTTTCGAGCTCCGGGACAGTGGGCGCTATGGCTTCTTGCTGCCAGCCTCTCAGATTGTCCCTACGGCTCAGGAGACATGGCTGGCACTTATGACCATCATGGAATACACCCTGAATCACCCCTACTGAACTGGCCCTTTGGCACCCTTCTCCCTCCTCTCTGGCCCCATCCAAATAAAGTTTGAGAATACAAAGTGCAGAATCTTGGGGTTCGTATGTGGAGGGCATGGGGCACATCCACCTCTGAAAGTTGGGGCAGAAGTGATTTAGTTCCTGCAGACTTCACTGGAAACATGTGGGTGGTTAGACTAAAGGACCCCTAACTCCCCTGTATTCCAGGATCCTGTATCCAAGTGGTATCTATTTTAATTAGATCACCCTGAGCTCATCTCCTCAGGGGCGATTTGTGCATATCTTGGAAGCAGGCAGCTGCCACAATTGTGAAGCAAATGCCCAGAACCCCATGGTGACAAGGAATTCAGGGGTTGTAGCCATTGTCTACAAAAGCAATAACCTGGAATGTGAGAGAGAATAATACTGGTGACTGCAGATGTTGCAGTCAAGTCAAACAGATTACTATAAAGCAAGATATGGCCTCCCACTCCTTAATTACATTGGAAGAAAATAATTGGGTGAAATGAAATCATTCGCTGAAGATAAAGAATGAATTGCCAATCCAGGGACATTTTTATTAATTGTAATATAGCCCGAAGGTTCTGCCTTTAAGGGCAGAGGTGGTTGGTTAACTTTTCATTTGCAATATCTTTTTCAGCATCCCCTGCACATCACCTGTGCTCCCTCCAGTTCCCACCCCCTGACTTTCTGTTCTCCTGCCCATATTCCCTACATGGCCTGAAGTTGGTATCCCTCCCTGGGCTTGGGAATCCTGAGGACTGTGGCAGTATACTAGTGACTAACACCACGGCACACAGAGTACCCCAGCTTTTTAAAAAATAAGACTCTACTTTTTTGCTTCTTTCTCCATATTTCTTAAGATGTAAATGTGGAGCTGGGGTCACTACCACAGAAGTCACTGGGGACGCTGGACTAGGGTCTGGGTGAGGATGGGGACATCTCCCCGAATTGGCCAGCTCAGATCTCAAGCTGCCTCCAGCTCTACTGACTTGAAGCTTGTCTTTTTCACAAAAGGTGATCTGAAAGTCAACTTTTTTTTTTTTTTGTCATTTTATGAGGGATATGAGGGAGTTTTCATCTTGGAGTTCTATTTTAATAGTGCTTTTGCTACCAAACATTCTGAAAAACAAGAACAAGGCTGACTATACATACAGTATATATAAACTGCATACATAAGTTTATGAGACAAGGTAAGGTGTTTGGGTATCTATAGAAGGATAACCTAAAGATTTGAAAATATTCCCTTTGTGTTATGTTTTGGGAAACATCCTCCTCCACCCATACAATAATATTGTAGATCAGGGCTGGGTTTGTGGCTTAGTAGTAGAACACTTTCTAGCACATGAGAGGGTCTGGGTTCCAGTCTCAGCACCACATAAAAATTAAAAGAAATAAAAATAAATAAAATAAAAATATTGGGTCCATCTACAGCTAAAAAAAAAATTAAACAAAAGAAGATCGTAGATCAGCTCAACCTGTTTTCACTGCTTAGTTTGGCCAAGTAGGAAGACAATCACCTTTTATTTAATAAAGCCTGGTAAGAAAAGAAAATTTAGTAAGATGACTTTAGTAATAAATCAATTAATATCAATCATAATAAATGCTTATTAAATGGAGACATGGAAGTTATGAATACTTAAAAATTTTTTCAGCTGTGGGAAGAGCTTTACATTTTGTTTGCAAACATTTTTATCAAATGTAAAAATTATGAATAAAAACATAAAATAATGCATTTAGAAAATATCATAATTTACATGAAAATATTAATGATCTTGAGGGGGTTAAAAGTACAAGTAAGTAAAGGGAGGTTTAAGGAAAAGACTAACAGTTCAAAAGATAAATAAGCAATTCCCAAAGCAGAAACAGAAAAAGTAAATGTAAGAAAGATACTGATCCTCAGTGATTCCTTGCACATCAAAGAAAAACAAAGTTGTCATTTTTCTCTCATTGGCTTGGCTTAGAATAAAAGACTGATGACTCAGTGTTATCAACAGCAGGAAGGAGTAAGGATAGTCACATACTGTCAGTGGGAAGATAAATTTGTGCCACTTTTCTGGAGGGCAAATTTGGCAATATAAGACATTTATATATATTGCTTCTTTGACCCAGAAAATCCACATGGAAGAATTTATTTTATAAAAACATTTGGACAAGTTAAAAAATATGTAGGCACAAGATTGGAATAGTGAAAAGTCAAACAAAAAGGGAAAGAATGTAAAGAACAATCAGTATTGATTAGTATGACACACGCCCACGACGGAATAAAATCTCGAAGCAATAAGATCTGTGTTGACATGGACAAAATGTTCACAGCACTTTAAGAGAAAGAAGCTGGCTACAGGTGGAAGCATTCCAAAACTGGATTGTGATGGCTGTGCAATTCTGTAAATGCATTAAAAAGTCCTTGCATACTTAAAATGGGTGAATTTGACAGCATGTGATTTGGACTTAATATAGAGTGAGTTTTTTTTAAATAATTTGGTCAAATTAGGAATACAAACAATAATAAATGTTGGAGAGGATGTGGAAAAAAAGGAACACCTTTATACTCTTGATGGGACTGTAAATTAGTATAAGCACTATGGAAATCAATATGGAGGATCCTCAAAAGACTAGGCATGGAACACCATATGACCCAGCTAGGTATACTCCTAGGTATTTATCCTAAGAAAATAAAGTCATCATACTACATATTTATAGATGAACAATTCACAATAGCCAAACTATGGAACCAACCTCAGTGTCTCTCAAGGGATGAATTGACTAAAAAAAAAAAAAAATGTGGTATATATACACAATGGAGTTTTATTCAGCCATAAAGAAAATATGTCATTTGCAGGAAAATGGATGAAACTTGAGAGCATTATGTTAAGTGAAATGAGCCAAACTCAGGAGGTCTAGGGTCATATGTTTTCTCTCATGTGCAGAAGCTAGAAAGGAAAAAGGAAAAGAAGGTTGCAGGGAGCAGGAAACCACATGAAAATTAAAGGGAGATCCATAAAGGCAAGGGACCAGGGGGAGACAGGATGGGAAGCAAAAGGGAAATACTGGGGAATATCAGGCCAATTATATTGTGTTTATATATGCATATGCAACAGATGCCACCACTATGTACAACTATAATGTACTAACAAAAATATGGAAAAAAATAATTTGACTGTTGAATATGAATCCCATTTTTGTTTAAAAAACACAAACAGGTGATACTCAGGACATATCCCCCAATAATAGTGCTAGTAGATTTGTTCTTTATGATTTTCAGAATTTCTTACAATGAGCTTTAATAATCAATGTTTATTTGGGGATGTTTATCCCCAAAGCACACCAGATAATGAATCTGTGCACAAAGCTGCCCTAACATCCTCTTCTTTTCAATATCAAACATCTGAATGGGCATCTTAGTCTTTGCTCAGATTCTTTTTAGAATTTGTCTAATCTCACTTCTTCTGTTCTGGCCTCTTATTTCACCATCTTTCCCGGAACACTGCAGTTTATCTTATCTTCAGAAAAATTTACACTCCAGATATAGCTGGAAGCAGCAGTGTTACTATCAGAACAGGGATTACTGAGGTCCCCTAAGCCCTTCCCTAAGCACTCTGCTGTAGTCCCAGTGGAAATTCCCAAGAGCCCTTCCTGCTCACATTCAGTTCCTTCACAATCTTGGGAATTGATTATGCTAACGCCTATTCTCCAGGGCTCCTCAAAGATCTTTAAGTGAAGTCATTTTATTTCTTCCTTACACCACTACAGATGGTTCTCAAATGTCGCTGGGGGCGGTTGGTGGTCCACAAGAATCTTTCAGGTAGTCTCCGAATTAACACTCAGATATGCACCTCTAGTTCTCTGGCTTTGGCCTGAAGTTAAAATTGAAAAGTCATTGAATAAGATCCAGATATGACCTCACTGATCCCTCATCCAGTGCAGAGCTATTCATCATCCTGGCGATTGTTCTGCAAGGGCAAGTGGGACTAGGTGGATCTGAGGATGCACAAGGGCTCTGGTTGGAAGGACTATGGGAACATTATTCCCTGAACACACTAAGATCCAGATGCTACTTTTAGAGGAAACTGGTATGACCAACCCATACATTCAGAGTGGTCAGGCCAAGGAAGGTCTCTGAGAAAAGAACAGAGCACACATTATATCTGAAAAACTGTCAAAGGGTAATGAATTCTTCCCCAAAGCTTTCAGGATCCGCATTAATTTGGCAACTCAAACTGCGAGCATCATCTAACAACCCCAGAGACCAAGACTGCCAAGTGTTTATTGCCAAAGTAAAAGGAGAAAATTAAAAGTCTCTGCTTAACCACAGCTGTGGTATCAGCTACATTTTTAGAACAGTGCAGTGGAAATAAGGGCTTTGCTGACATGGGCTGTAGGTTTGCCTCTGTTTCCCCAGGAAACTCAGGCCTGTGGTCATGGGTCAGTTTTCACAATTTATGTTTCAGCTTGAATTAGAAACATCATGACAAAGGAAAGAAGAGATAGACACAAAGCACATCAAGATGGTTTATTAAATGAATAGTTCAATCCATGTGGAAAACAGCTTAATCCCCCACCCCCCAATCTAGTTAAAAGTTTGTAACTCTCATTCTTTAAGTAGAAGACATGAGTGTCCACTGACAAAATAAACCTCAGAAACTCTGGATCAATTTTCTTTTAAGATAGGACCCTGTACACTGACATATTCAGTGGAAAAAACTATATTATTCCAGGGCACAGGTGTTTTTAGTTCCTAATTTTCCACTGCCTTTTGTGCAGGTGGCAGGAGGAAGCCTTCCTGAGGAATCTCAGTGATGAGGAGGGAAGGGAAGCCAAGGGCAGGCTACATTTTCTCTGGGAAACAGAGGTACTGCCAAGGGGGACCAAACCTGGCTGTGCCTACCCAGAGTGGGAAGCTCAGGGTAGAGTGCCTACGAGAACATGCTCCGACATCCTCAGGCTGGGTCCTAGCTTCCCATCAACTACTCAATGATTCAGGGTGAGCTGCTTCATTCCACTCAAACTTTAGCCTCCTCAGCTGAAAAGGTAGACACCAGCCCCACAGGACTGCTTGAGTTAAAG